TGATGTTTTAAATGCTAATTTGACACAGAGAACAATGCATTTCTCACAACAGCTGAATGAGTCAAAGCCAGTGCACACAGAGGTTGCCTTTAGGCGTTTTTAGTTTGGCTCTTGTTTTCCTCCATAAGGCGTTGCGGTTGCTGGCCATTCAAGTGTAAAATACACTATCATGAATAGTCAAATTGCCTTGCTCTCCATCGGTGCCAGTATGAGAATGTGATGAGTAATAATAGCCACGGGCCCAGCACAGACCCCTGGGGTTCCCAACTGTAGATATCTGACCCGGTCTTTATTTCTGAGCGGGGCACAACACACAAACCCACCAACATGCACCAGAGTTCACAAAGTCCCCGTTTGGAAAAACACATAGTCAAGGTTAATGACTGGCCTGGGGCAATGCTCATTGTGGTGGAAAAGGGATGTCTATGAGCCGTTGTAATGTCCTTATGTAACTGGCGCTCACTGAACATTGTTTTAAAAGCGGAGCGTTCCCTAAAAATATCACGTATGCATCTAAAGACACCAGATCCCCTTTGCTTGCATTGGTTCTGTTCACCGGGTGCGGAATAACACGATTTCGTTTTCCCAGGACGCGTGTGACAGCTGTAGCATTCCCATTATTTCCAATATGAGTCAGCAGCGCACGAAACCCGAACAGCATCGCTCTTGTCAGTTTTGAAGCTGTGCTGCCCTTGCTGAAAGGCACTGAGATAGATAACAGCGTGATGTGACTTTGACTAAGCAACGCTCTGAAAGCGACTGTTCACGGTCTCTCTAAGAACGAGGCGCGTTTCCTTGCTGAGGCTAGCGTTAGCATCAGAGACAGTAGGTAAACAAAGCTTCACGTTCGGCGCAAACAGAGTGCATTATAGTTGTCTCTGCTGCTGTGGCAGATGAAATATTAATGAGGCAATTTGAAGCCGACTCAAATATTTATTTGTTCATAGTTGGGCCACTTCCTGTGCTGTTGCTTTTTTAGCTCAAATGTTGTGACTACCGTGCTGTGAGTGCCTGGAAATAATGCTCTCTAATAGCTCACGGTAAATGCTTAGTGTGCATGTCCTGCTTCACAGCTCATATAGGCATTATGACATTACAGTGCTGGATTGATTGTTAGTATGCTGCCTGTGGCCATGCAGTTCGTTCGGTGACACCACAACGGGAATATAGAAAACATCTATTACCAACACTGGCACACTGGAGGCATTCAAATCACCCGGTCTCATACCTTTAGGAAGTGCAAATTTGACCACTAATGGTCAGCCATTTGTCTTACTAAGCCAGAGGAGAA